CCCCCCCCCCCCCCCCCCCCCCCCCGCTGCCCCCGCTGCTTGCCCGGATCCTTCCCGCTGCACGGTGTGGGTTGCGATTTCGACGTAGAGTATCGGCAGTCTTGCTGTGTCATTTGTGATATCATTGTGGCCAAAAAAAATTGAAAACAGTGAATGAAACGTCTGACTCGCTTTTTTTCGTGGACCTTTCTTCGAAGGGAGAGGAACCACCTAATGGGAGGTGGTCAAAATGACCTTTGGTCCTTCAAGGGACATCATCCCTCCTAAGACCTGGGTGGCATGCACACGTACCAAATCATCTGGAATTAATTTTTTCTGGGTCTCAGGAGGTCCATGATAAAAAGGCGTCGGAAAAAAAAATCTCTAAAAAAAAAAGTATCCCGTTTGAAGAGAAGACTGGAGTGAAATTGGAACATCTGTGCGTGCGGAAAACGGACCGGAATGACCGCTTTATCAAGCGTTAGATAAGATCCATGCTGACTTGAGCCGTCTGTTTTCTGTTCAGACAAAAACGGAAATTGTTTCGTGGTGGAAGAGTTACCTAGTTGCAGCATAGCCTTTCGGATTTCCTCCAGAAGTGATGGAAAACGGGAAGGAAACGTCGTTCAAGTTCCTTACAGTTCGTCTATTATTTATTTTATATATGGACGTGGCCATTTTCCTTTGGCCATTTTCGAAGCATCTTCATTTCACCCCTTGGCGGTGAAATTTGCGAATTCTGCGAAATGTGAAGAAGCCATTCCCCCACTAAACGGGTGTTATAAATAAATGTACACATCTTTTGCTTCTCATCACCCATTTTATTCAAGGCCACACTCGCCTCTGCAAAAAGTTTCAAGGGGATGACAGGCACGAATTACCCAGGCACGAATTACCCAGTGATGGTTTGAGCATTGATCCTCCCGACGCAGAGGGAGAAGTTCACTGCGTCTTTAGCCGGGGTCGTGGTCGTCGCCGCGGTTGCCTGAGAGTCATGGGCGGCAAAAAATAATCGTAATAATAATAAGATGGAAGAAAAAAAAATGGCGGGAAAATCGGTCGACCGGAAGAGGGCAACTCACGTTGAGGTTATCCCGGCAGGTCCCGTATCGGACGTTCAGGTTGGTGTCGTTCGTGAAACAGGCGACGATGGCCGACAGGATCGATTGCTTGGTCGTGATGGATTCGAAGAGCCAAAAAGAGTGTCCAGCTTGCTGTGGTCAGAGGCGAAAACTCAATTTTAACTTAGTTGAAAGAAGGTGGAAAGGCGTCGAAATCGATTTCTTCCGGAATCCGTCGAGCCTTGCTCCTATGGGATTTTTTTTTCTGTTTCGAGTCTGAAAGCCATTGCGACTTTTCGAAGTCCGAGCATCAGCTGACCTTAAATTTAACGTGATTATTAGTATTTATTCGTGAAGGTTGAGGCCCCTTTTCAAAAATGATTGGTCCATCCAGAGAAGTGAAGCGAGACTGCATGCAGCACCACACAACGAGCGAACCGGGAAGCCTCGCGAAAATCGCGGCGAAAAGGAGCGGAATCCCGGCGGAAAAAAAGTGTCGCGACGGAACGACGGACACCGCGACTCGGTCTCAAGGAGTCACTGCACGCGCCAAGAATAGACAGAGGACCGAGGAAGAAAAAAAAACAGCGAGAAGAAAGTGAAAACGAGATAAATAAAAAAATTCCGGTCGAAAGAGACAGTCGGAAGACGGAGCACTACAACCCCCGCGAAGCGAGAAGTGATCCAAGAGCGAGAGAGCAGAGAGAGCAGAGTGAGCAGAGTGAGAAGGGAGAGAAGGGAGGGAAGGGAGGGACCCACCTGAATGCACAACTTGCAGTTGAAGGGCGACGTGGCGACGAGGCAGGCCTGCTGCTGGAGCGAGAAGGACCAGGTCCCGCCCAAGGAGCGTCCATCCTTCGCGCCGCGCACCAGCGCGCCCCTCTTCGGGTTCCACGGATCCCATATCTACACGTTACCGCGTCGTTCAGAGGTAAAAAAAAAAGTCACGAATGAATAAATAATATATGTATGATATTCTTATGCGAATGCGAAAAGAATTTCCGAGTTGCACATTCTCGGTGTTCGTTCATTCGAAAGAGGGAGGAAGGGATTGATGTTGAAAGCAGCTCAATTCCCCATTCCACCGCTTTTCCGAGAAATAAGGGGACTTTTAGAACATGCGACAGTCCCAGTTCTCAGAGACACTTTGGCTGTCCGACGATAACCAAGAAAATATTGGCCTGACCAATGCGAAAATTGGCAAGCAGGTAGATTTGAACAACATACAGACCGAGTTCGTTTCGTGGCGAATTTTTCCCAAAATGCCCATGTTTATCGCGAAATTCGTATTTGAAATGAACCCATGGAGGATGGGGGAAAGGCACGAGTTCCCTTCAGCCTTGAGATCCTCAACCACAATGCGCATGCGCATAAGACCCAGGCCTTAGTCGCGGCGCCGTGCCGCCAAGTGCTTCCAGTTCGCTACCAGCACTCGTGTCAGACGGATGTGGAACCACGCTCAGCCCTCCATCCCTCCCATCATCATTTCACGAGCACCATGGGTAGATTTCCCAAATGAGATTTTTGAGGGTCGAGGGTCGGAAAGAGATGGCATTTCGTTCAAGTAGAAAGGCCTCGAGGCCCACCCTCAAGAAAGGGTGGGCCTCGAGGGACAGAAGACTCGAAAATTCGCGTTTGGGACTTCTTTTGCGGCTCGAAAAAAAAAGTCTATAAATTGTCTATAGAAACCACTACTACTATGCAGCAGGTTTTCGTTTTTTTTTTTTTGCTTTACCTGTTGTAGCTCGCAACCCCTGCTAGGAAAATGAAATGCGGTTGAAGGTCCATCCTAAAACCCAACACATTTCAGATCGTTAATTTCAGGCTGTAGGAAAAAATATTTACTGCTAATTGAATATAGCATGGATGTGATTCTTTTCCCCGCAACGGTGAGTTACATCTAATCTGAGGGAATACATTTTTGTCACACACACGCACAAAAAAAGTTAGATACATATTTTACAGGTGTTAAGATGCATATTCGCATTGTAAAAATGTACAAAAATACCATTCTAGAAATTCACAGAGAAAAATTAGCCTAAAAAAACACACGTACACAAATGTGGTCACCGGCCGAATGCGGTCCGCATGGTATATCAGCAAAAACACTCTCAACTAACACGATATCGCAGAAATATCGCTGCGTCCCTTATTTTCGTTCTCGGAGCACTTCGCAAGCTGGGGAATCGGTTTTTGGCCGACTTTAAAAATGCATCGAACGAAACGTCCACATTTTTGTGCCAGCCTCCCCGAAGAGTCGGAGGGAAACTCACGGAAAAGACGAGGAAGAGCGCGAAGACCCAAGACATTTCCTTCATTCCGCCGAGGAACAATGGAAATGTGCGGGTCCGAGTCCCTTTTATGCAGGATTCCGCCGAGAAATGAGGGAATGGCCTCGATCAGCGATGGAGATCGGGGGGGATCCCTCTCCCCCGATCCCCCCCCGATCCCCTTTCGTTTTCACGCCGTTCTTATCTTATCATCGAAAACGGCCTAATTTCCCGTCATGAGGGCCAGGATCCCCCCAATGACGGCCAGGATCCCCCCAATGACGGCCAGAATCCCCCCAAATGACGGCCAGGATCCCCCCCTTGTCGATATGGGAACGCGAAGCAACTCCACCCTCGAGTGAAAAAAAGGAATTAATAATTAAGTGTAATTAATTAACCCCCTTTCGCTCCCAGAAGTCGTGTCTGCCCGATAAATATTCAAAACGATCCTCCGACCTAAAATCGTCACAGGCTAAAAAGAACTCGCCAGGGATGCCGGAACTCTCGGATCGTTCGTCACACTGCCTCTGGGCGGAAAATCGGAAAAATCGGAAATTCCTCTATGCAGGAAAGCTTAATTGATGATCATCAGGCACTTGGGCATTTTCTGGTCCCGTGAGCCATAAACGCAACGAAACGGGTTCGTTTCTCGGAAGGGCATCACCCGGCATCACCTGGCATCACCCGGCATCACTCGGCATCACTCGGCATCACCCCCTGCCAGGGACAA